GCTTTATTCTCCAAACGTAATACCTTTTATCTGGTAACTTTTAAGATTTTTTGACATATATTTATGATGTACCTCAATGTGTTTTTCATTGTGTTTATCTTGTTTAGGTTTCATTGAGCTTCTTATATTAGTTTAAGATTTGTTCAAGTATGAGAAATTTTCAACTACCCTTTCTTCAAATATTTTTCTGCTTCTCCTCCTTCCTTTTCCACTACTACAATGCCAATATCATGTGTTAAGTCACATGACCTTGTGACACAGGTCACTGAGGCTTTATTTTTTTTTAGACTTACTTCTTTCTCTACTTCAGTTTGGAATGTTCCTATTGCTTTAATGGTCTTTTGCAGTTTTTAGTATCCTGATAAAACCATCCAGTGAACTTTTCATTTCAAGTTTTATATTTTTCAGCTCTAGAAGTTCCATTTGGTTCTGTATATAGCTTTCATCATTCTTATTTTCCTTAAATCCTTAAGTATATGTTAATAGATTTTTCTTTAATAGACTTTTTAGAGAAGTTTTAGGCTCACAGAAAAGTTGGACTTAAAAGTGGAGAGTTCCCCTACCCTCAAACCCATATATATGCATAGCCTCCCTCAGAATCATCATCCTGCACCAGTGATATATTTGTTATAATCAATGAACCTACAATGACAAAGCATTATCACCCAACTCCATAGTTCACATTAGGGTTCATTCTATGTGTACATTCTATGGGTTTGGGCAAATGTACAATGACATGTACTCACCATTATAGTATTATAGAGAATAGTTTCACTTCTCTTCTAATTGTATTGCTCTGCCTATTAGTTCCTCCTAGCCCTCAAATCTCTAGCAATCAATGATCTTTTTACTATCTCCATATTTTTGTCTTTTCCAGAATGCTATACATTTGGAACCATACCATATATAGTCTTTTTATATTGGCTTCTTTCATTTAGTAATACATCTTTAAGTTTTCTCCACATCCATTCATGGCTTGAAAATTCATTTCTTTTTAGTGTTGAATAATATTGTATTGTCTAGACATGTCACAATTTATTCATTCACCTACTGAGGGAAATCTTGGAAATTGTATTGTCTGGACATGTCACAATTTATTCATTCACCTACTGAGGGAAATCTTGGTTACTTCCAAGTTTGGGGAATTATCAATAAAACTACTGAAACCATTTGTGTGCAGGTTTTTATGGGTATTAAAGTATTGAGTAAATACCAAGGAGTGTGATTATGGGTAAATACCAAGGAGTGTGATTATGGACCATTTGGTAACAGTATGTTTAGTTTTGTAAGAAACTGCCAACTGTCTTTCATAGTGGCTAAACTTTATGCAATCCCAGAATAAGAGTTCTTGTTCCATATCTTTGCCAGTATTTGGTGGTGTCAGTGTTTTGAATTTTCATCATTCTAATAGGTGTGTAGTGGCATTTCATTGTTGTTTTAGTTTTCAATTCCCTAATGACATATGATGTTGTCTTTTTATATGCTCATTTGCAATGTGTATATTTTTGGGAGGAAGTGTCTGTTAACAAGGTCTTTTGATCATTTTTTGATCATGTTGTTTTTTTATTGACTTTTAAGAAATATTTTTATATTTTGGAAGTGTCCTTTAACATATATGTCTTTGGCAAATATTTTCTCCAGTCTGTGACTTGATTTCTCATTCTCTTAACAATACCTTTTACAGAGAAGTTTATAATGCCTTTGGTGTTAAATCTACAAAGTCATTGCCACACTCTAAAATCATCAAGATTTTTTCCTGTGTTGACTTCTAAGGGCTTTATAGTTTTGGATAGTACATTTAAGTCTACGATGTATTTTGGGTTAATTTTTGTGAATGATATTAGGTCTGTGACTAGATTCTTTATTTTATGTGTAAATGACCAATTTTTTCAATACCATTGGTTGAAAAGACTAACTTTTCTCCATTTTATTGCCTTTTCTCTTTTGTCAAAGATCAGTTGACTACAATTATGTGGATCTATTTGGGGGCTCTCTATTCTGTTCTGCTGATCTATGTGTCTATTCTTTTGCCATACCACACCGCCTTGACTACTATAGCTTTAAAATAAATCTTAAAGTCAGGTAAAATGTCAGTCTTCCAGCTTTGTTCTTTCCCTTCAATGTTATGTTGGCTATCCTGGGTACCCTTGACAAAATTCAACACCCATTTATCCTTGAAAATGTTTAGAAAACTAGGAAATTTCCTCAAACCAACAAAAGACAGCTACAAAAAAATTACACCTAACATCATATTTAATGATAAAATATTGAATGCTTTTCCTTAAGTTTAGGAAGAAGACAAAGATATTTGCAATCTTGAGGCAGGCAAAGATATCTTAAAAATGACCTGGAAAGATTAACTACAAAAGAAAAAAGTGATAGATAAGACTCCATCAAAATTAATAACTTGTGCTATCAAAAGAAAAACATATTGGGAAGTCATTGGCTTAGACTAAACAGTTGTAATACATGTATCTTTCAAAGAGCATGTTCCAGAATATATGAAAATAAGCTCCTACAACTTAATTTTTTTTAAAAAAATTAAAGATAAGTTAAAATAGCAAAAGACTCAACCAAACATTACATAGAAGAAGATACGTAAGTGGTCAAAAAAAAGTGCACAAATTCAACATGATTAGTCCTTAGAACAACACTAAAAGAACTGCCAACATCAGCTGTTATTAAGAATGTGGAGCAACTGGTAATCTTGTACATTATTTGTGGGAGCATAAGGTGGGACAAGTACTTTAGAAAGGTATTTTGCAGTTTCTAAAAAAGTCAAATGTGCATCTATCCAGTTACCCAAAATTCCATTTCTAGGTAATTACACAAGATAAATTAAAATATGTGTCTGCAAAAGACACAAAAATGATCATAGCAGCTTTATCATAAAAACCCCAAACTGGAAACAGTCCAGGTGTCCATAAATAGGTGGAATGAATATATGAATAATTATGATATATTCATAAAATGGAACAGTACTCAGAAAAAAAAAAAACGAACCACTTATCACACATCAGCTTTGATGAGTCTTAAAACCATTATGTTGAATGAAAGAAGCCAGACACAAAAGCATCCAAGTGGCCCTTGAAAAACACAGGTTTGAACTGTGTAGGTCCACTTATATGTAGGGTATTTTTGTTTTGTTTTGTTTTTAGTTAACAGCAAAAGCCACAAGGCATTTATTTATAACTGCCCACCCCAGTCTCCAAAGATGGAACAGAAGGCACTGGCACAGAGGTAGAACTTGCTATATGAGTGCCTGGGGATGCCCCCTGAGGAAAGGTCTGCAGGTAGCCCTAAGTGAGGATATGCTGGTCAGGTGTTACATTGAGGGCTATCAGGCAGAAGGCTGAGCTAAAGATGAACACACCCAGAAGGCAAGGATGCTACTGAACAGGGAGCCCCATGTCCCCCAGAGTCCTCCACCAACTTGCCTCCAAAGTTGCTCCAGGGAGGCCAAGGGCCTTGGTCCCATTGCAGGTCTAGTGCAGATTCTTTCCTGTGGTAGCCCCCTGCCTCATGGCCTCCTAAAGACCAGTGTGCTCATGCTTGGCTGCAATTGAAATGGCCACTTTCAGGTGGTACACCTGGTATACAACTCCAGGCAGTGGTACAGCTCTATCGTGCCTCTAGACTGCTTTCACTACCCATGGGCCCACTGAGCAGCTGCTACTGCTGAGCTGAGGCCACCAGACTGCAGAACTTTGCTATTCTGGGCCCAGGACCGCAGTCCCTGTCACTGACCCTGGCCCAGGTTAGTGTATATACAAAACTGTAAATGTATTTTCTTTTCCTTATGATTTTCATAATAATATTTTCTTTTCTATAGCTTGCTTTATTGTAAGAATATAGTATAAAATATATACAACCTACAAAATGTGTGTTAATCGACTAGGCTATTGGTAAGGCTTCTGGTTAACAGTAAGTTATTAGTAGATAACTTTGGGGGGGGAGTCCAAAGTTATACTTGGAGTTTCAACTGTGCCAGGGTCATCATCCCTAAGCCCTGCCTTGTTCAGGAGTCAACTGTACTTACTGTATGATCCCACTTTTTGACATACCAAAACAGTTCATCTATGATGAGAAATATCAGATAAAATCCCTGCTTATGGGAAGTAAGATTTAACTGGAAAATAGCACAAGGGAAATCTTAGGGTTTATCATTTATTCTAGGCAATGAGAAGTTATTGAAGGTTTGTTAACAGTTAAGTTCCAGGTTCAAACCCATTAGCCCACCAGGATAGTAGAGGGGAAAGAGAATTGGGTTGAGATCAGAAGAACTTGGTTGAATGCCTACCTTTGTCATAGACTCTACACTTGGAAAGTTTCTATATGTTCCATCTTCTTTATTCAAAAATTGAAAGGTTGAATTAATCTCTAAAATCTTTCAAAATATTCTGTGAACATATGAGATGGGATTTGCAGCAATAAAAATAGGAAGAATGCCCTTGCAATAAAGTTAGGGAGTGGTAATAACCACCAGAATCTGGAAAGTATCAGTGGCAATGGCGAGGTGGTTTATATATTTTTTTAAAGATTTGTTTTTACTTATTTATGATAGACATAGAGAGAGAGAGGCAGAGACACAGGCAGAGGGAGAAGCAGGCTCCATGCCGGAAGCCGGACGTGGGACTTGACCCCGGGACTCCAAGATCGTGCCCTCCGCCAAAGGCAGGTGCTAAACCACTGAGCCCCCCAGAGATGCCCTGGAGAGGGGGTTTAAATGTGAGAAAATAATTCAATGCAGGTGTGAGAGAAAAGAGCCACGGAAGCTTATGAAGATTATAGTTTAAGAGACTACCTCTTTTTGCGGGATTTGAACTCTGTTATTTGGATGTTTAATGCTAAAAGCTGTACAAATGTGTCTTTTGGTAAGTGTTAACCCAATCTGGAGGTTACATTTAGAAACAATAACTCCATTTAACTCTTTTAATTATTTAAGATTTTCTTTCTTATTATTATTATTTGAGTTTTCCTAATGTGATTTTTGAAAATACCTTTTAAAATACGAAGCTGACGATAAGCTGCAAGTTTTGGCTGAAATAAATTTTCCATTAGAACTCGTTCCATAAAAAATAAGGCCTGACGAAACTTGTCAGATTTCAATATTGTCTCTGAGTGATCTTCTTCATCATCATGGATTGTAGTCAGAATTACATTTTCTATATCCATTAAGGAACTAGCTTCACTATCTGTAAAATACAAAATGATGCAATGATAAAATTATTTAGATAGTATTACACAATTAATGCATTCTAAGCATTATAAAAATCCCATTTTGTCATTACTATTTGTTTTCCTCCAATATTCAACAACTTCAACAGACATTTATTGAATAGTTTTTATGTACCAAGCACATAGAACATATACATATATAATCTCATTTTGGAATACCTTTTTAATATTTTATTTAAATTCAATTTGCCAACATATAGTATGACACCCAGTGCTCATCCCATCAAGTGCCATCCTCAGTGCCCATCACCCAGTTTCCCCATCCTCCCACCCTCCTCCCCTTCTGCAACTCTTTATTTCCCAGAGCCAGGAGACTCTCATGGTTTGTCTCCCTCTCTAATTTTCCCCACTCAATTTCCCTCCTTTCCCCTTATAGTCCCTTTCACTATTTCCCATATTTCACAAGTGAGTGAAACCATATAATTGTCTTTCTTGGATTGGCTTATTTCACTCAGCATAATACCCTCCAGTTCCATCCACGTCAAAGCAAATGGTAGGTATTTGTCCTTTCTGATGGCTGAGTAATATTCCATTATATATCATATATATATTATATATATGTAATATATATAATGTGAGATATATATATCTATCACATCTTCTTTATACAATCATCTGTTGAAGGACATCATGGCTCCTTCCACAGTTTGGCTACCGTGGACACTGCTGCTATAAACTTTGGGGCACAAGTGTCCCATCATTTCATTACATCTGTATCTTTGGGGTAAATACCCAGTAGTGCAATTTCATTTTGGAATTCTTAACCATTCAAAAATATACTGTTTGTCAGAAGATAAGCAGTGATAACCTCATAGGTAATGTATATCTCTATATATTGTTATTCAAATTGAATTAAGATTATTAGCCCTCAGATAAAGGTCCGATTTGACTATTGTTTTATAAAAATGCTATACCACTGCATTAGTTTTTATGTTGATGAGAAAATAAACTATCAAAAACTTAGCAAATTAAAACCATGCAAATTTATTATTTTAAAGTTAAGTAAGTTAGACACAGATCTCACTGGGCTAAAACTAAAAAGTTAATAGGGTTATGTTCCTTTCTAGAGGGTCTAGAGAATTCATTTTCTTATCTTTTTCAGATTCTATTTCTTTAAAATTATTATTTATTTGTTCATGAGGGACACAGAGAGAGGGAGGCAGAGACATAGGCAGAGGGAAAAGCAGGCTCCATGCAGGGAGCCTGATCTGGGACTCAATCTCAAGACTCCAGGATCACACACTGGGCTGAAGGCCGGCACTCAACCGCTGAGTCACCCAGGCGTCCCTCTTTTTCAGATTCTAGAGGCCACCCACACCCTTCCTCCATCTTGAGATACAACATCATTACATGTCTTTGACCTTCTTCTGTTATTACATCTCTCTATGACCACAGCTCAGAAAGGTTTCGACTTTTAATTATCCATATGTTTAGATTGGGTTCTCCCATTCTACTAACAGAAACCACAACAAAGGTTCTTGGCCACATTTCCCCCTCATTCTTTCTGCCTCCTGACCAATCCTGGTGCTTCTCTATGTAGCCCACAGCATAGAATGTCCCCTCCTCTTGAGATCTGTGAGTATAACATTCTTTTTAATGGCAATAGTGTCCTGTTCTGTTGGTCTTGTCATGCCTAAATATTAATACAGTCCACATTAAAAAAATATCATTTATAAGAAATGCAATTTAAATGAAAAGACACAGATAGATTAAAGGTAAAGAGATAGAACAATATATACTATGTTAACACTACTCAAAAGAAGATGGAGTAGCTATATTTAATTTCAGACAAAGTAGGCTGCAGAGCAAAAAAAAAAATTATCAGAAATAAAGAGTATGCATATAAGAAATCAAATCTCCAAGAAGACACAGCAACTCTAATCATTTATGCAACAAAAAACAGGACTGCAAAATATTTCAGGCAAAAGTGATAGAACTGCAAGGAGAATCAGACACATCCACTGTTATAATTGGAGACTTTAACACTATTTTAATAGAATACATGTTTTTCTCAAGCTCACTTGGAATGCTCACCAACCTAGAGCATTCTGGGCCACAAAGCACATTTCAACGAATTTAAAAGAATAGAAATCATACAAAATATGCTCTCAAACCACAGTGGAATTAAACTATAATTCACAGAGAAGTAAGCTGGATAATCTCAAAGTATTTGGAAGTTAAAAAAATACATAAATAAAAAATAGGTCAAAGAAGTCTCAAATAAAATTTTTAAATATTTGAACTAAATTAGAATAAAAATATAACATCAAAATGTGTGAGATACAACAAAAAGATGCTTAGGGGGAAATTTATAGCTTTTGAATGCATATATTAGAAAAGAAGAAAAAACTAAAAATTAGTAATCTAAGCTTCCATCTCAGGGCACTAGAGTAAGAAGAGCAACATAAGGGATCCCTGGGTGGCGCAGCGGTTTAGCGCCTGCCTTTGGCCCAGGGCGCGATCCTGGAGACCCTGGATCGAATCCCACGTCGGGCTCCTGGTGCATGGAGCCTGCTTCTCCCTCTGCCTGTGTCTCTGCCTCTCTCTCTCTCTCTCTCTCTCTGTGTGACTATCATAAATAAATTAAAAAAAAATTAAAAAAAAAAAAAGAGCAACATAAGCCTAAAGCTAGTAGGAAACAAATGTATATAAAAATTAAAGTAGGGATCCCTGGGTGGCACAGCGGTTTGGCGCTTGCCTTTGGCCCAGGGCGCGATCCTGGAGACCTGGGATCGAATCCCACGTCAGGCTCCCGGTGCATGGAACCTGCTTCTCCCTCTGCCTATGTCTCTGCCTCTCTCTCTCACTGTGTGACTATCATAAATAAATAAAAATTAAAAAAAATTTTAAAAAATTAAAGCATAAATCAGGGACACTGGAAACAGGAAATCATCAGAAACAATCAATGAAATTAAAAGTTATTTCTTTGAAAAATCAATAAAACTCATAATCATCAGCTATGTTAGCTAAGAAAAGAAATAGAACATACAAATTTCCAGTATGAGTAATAATAGAGGTGCCATCACTACTGATCTCATAGACCAATGGAATAATAAGGAAATACTGTGAACAACTCTATGTCCACAGATTTGATTATTTATATGAAATGAAACAATTCCTTGAAAGACAAGAAATCACACAAAGTGAAACAGATCATCTGAATAAGCCTATCTCTATTAAAGAAATTGAATTGATAATTAGTAACTTTCCAAAATAGAAAATAGGCCCAGATGGTTTTACTGCTGAACTATATCAAACATTTTAGGAATGTTTGTACAATCTATTTCAGAAAATAAGTAGAGGAAACACTTCCCAATTCATTGTGTTAGGCTGGCATTACTCTAATACCAAAACTAGATGAAGACATTACAAAAATGGAGAATTACAAAACAATATTACTTATGAGAACAACACAAAAATCTTCAACAAAATATTAGCAAGTTAAATCTAACAGTGTATAAGAAGAATTATACAACCCAACAAAGTGGGGTTTGCTCCAGGTATCCAAAGCTAGTGCAACACTTAAAAATAATGCAATCCATCCCATCAACAGGCTAAAGAAGAAAAGTCACATTAAATTCAGAAAACTCTTTTGACAAAAATCCAACACCCATGATGATATAAAGTCCCAAAAACTGAGGTACTTGGGTGGCTCAGTCCATTAGGCATCTGACTCCATTTTAGCTCATGATCTCAGGATCCCAGGATTGAGCCCTGAGATAGACCCTGAGCTCAATGGGCCTGGGAAGGTTGGGGGCGGGGAGGGAGGTGGGAGAGTGTTTGAATTTTTTGTCACGTTTAAAGTTGGACTCTTTATTTTCTTACTGTTGAGTTTTTTGAATTATGATAAATTAAGTTCTTTATCAAAGAAGTGTTTTGCAAAATTTTCTCCCAGTTTGGGGCTTGCCTTTTCATTTTCATAACAATCTTTCACAGACCAGAAATTTTAAATTTTAATAAAGTTCAATTTAATATATTTTTTCTCTTTCAGATTGTGCTCTGGTATTGTATCCAAAGATTTATCACCAACCCCAAGGCTACCTAGATTTTCCCTTATCTTTTTTTTTTTAAGATTTTATTTATTTATTCATGGGAGACACAGAGAAAGAGGCAAAGACATAGAGGGAGAATCGGGCTTCCTGTGGGGAGCGTGATGTGGGACTTGATCCCAGGACCCTGGGATCATGACCTGAGCCAAAGACAGACGCTCAACTGCTGAGCCATCCAGGCATTACTCTTACCTTGTCATAAATTCTATGTCTACATTTTTTGGGCATATGGATGTCCAGTTGTTCATATGTTGAAAAGACTTCTTTGAATTTTCTTGCTTCTTTTTTTTTTTTATTTATGATAGTCACACACAGATAGAGAGAGAGAGGCAGAGACACAGGCAGAGGGAGAAGCAGGCTCCATGCACCGGGAGCCCGACGTGGGATTCGATCCCAGGTCTCCAGGATCGCGCCCTGGGCCAAAGGCAGGCGCCAAACCTCTGCGCCACCCAGGGATCCCAATTTTCTTGCTTCTATATCAAATACCAGTTGACTATATTTGAGTAGGTCTATTTCTGAGCTTCCATTCTGTTCTACAGATCAATTTGTCTATTCTTTCACAAATATCATATTGTCTTGGTTAACTGGAGCTTTATAGTAATTCTTAAAATTGGGTAGTATCAGTGTTTTATTCTTCAGTATTGTGTCAGCTATTCTTGGTCTTTCGACTGTCCATATAAACTTGAGAATCAGCTTGTCAATATCCATAAAATAACTTGGTTGGACTTTGATTGGGATTGCACTGAATCTATAGATCAAATTGAAAAGCATTGGCCTCTTAACAATATGGAAACTTCCTATCCATGAAAACTTACTTGTTTGGATCTTCTTTGATTTCTTTCCTCAGAGTATTGTAATTTCCTCATGTAGATCTTGTACATGTTTTGTTAGATTTATACCTTAAGCATTTAACTTTTTAATGGTAATATTAATAGTATTATGGTTTTTATTTCAATTGTTCATTACTGGTTTATAGGAAAGCCATTGACTTTTGTATATTAATCTTGTATATTGTGACCTTGCTATAATTGCTTATTAGTTGGAAATTTTTATTTATGATTTTTAAAAAGATTTATTTATTTATTTATTTATTTATTTATTTATTATGAGAGAGAGAGAGAGAGAGAGAGAGAGAGAGAGAGGCAGAGACACAGGCAGAGGGAGAAGCAGTCTTCGAGCTGGGAGCCCCATGCGGGACTTGATCCCGGGACTCCAGGATCACACCCTGGGCCAAAGGCAGGCGCTGAACCGCTGAGCCACCCAGGGATCCCCCAAATTTTATTTTCTTATAATTTTCATGGGATTTTCTACGTAAACAACTGTGTCATCTACAAAGTTCTTTTCCTTTCCAATTTGTATAACTTTTATTTCTTTTCTTTGAATTATTATATTAGTTAGGACTTCTAGTATGATGTTGAATAAAGGTTCCTAGTCTTGTTCCTTATCTTAGTGGGGAAATTTTCGAGTTTTCATATATTATATATATATATTGAAAATAATCTTTCCCTATAAACTGAAATAGGGTCTTACATATATTCAAAGATGAAAATCATGGTCCTTTTTCCTCCCTAGAATATAATAGAAGATTAAAATACAACCTGTATATTCAAAGTTTAAATGGAATAGAAATATTTCTTAAACCAAATATGGACCATATTTAACTTTTTTCTTCGTGTTTTCATTATAAAATCTCAGACACAAAAGGGACCCTAGAGGTTATCTAGTCCTAGTTTTTATCTGAATCTCCCTTACATTCTCAATAAATCTGATCATTCAGCTCTGTTGCCAATCTTTTCCTATTTTTTTTATTTTCTCCCTTTTCCTAGGTTGGTTCTCTCCTATCCCCTTAATTGGCTATAATACTAAAATATATTTTTATTTTGTACTGTAGTTCTTTAATATGGTTTTTATGACCCCTTGTTGCCTTTAAAAACATCCATATACACAATAAATTAAATATCCACAAACTGAGACTTTTTTTTAGGGCCTTCCACTTACACTTTTTCTATGTGTCAGTGGCCTTAACAGAGATGGAATATGTATATCCAGTTTTGAAGTCCCAATGTAATTTTCAGTCTAAGATTGATGTTTTTCCTAGCAACTTTTGGTAGGAAAAATTTTAGCTTCTAAAAGCAAACCTATTATATGGACATTAACATTTAAAGAAAAAATAAATATTTCTTTAGTAATAACTAATAATTCATTTTTCCCTTCATTGTTCTCTAGGAAAATAAACTGGTGTTTATTTTACAAACAACTTCCAGTAAAACATAGCTATAGTCAACATGACTACAAATATAACTTTTAAAACAAAAAAAATATAGGTGACATGTTTTTTAAGTTTTAATTTTTTAAAATATTAATCTTAAGATATAATGATAGACCAAATTATTAGGTGGTAAGTCCTGTAGATCCAGAATCTCTGAAGGAAATGTAGTCAGTTATAAATATGGTAATTATTTTCTGAAAATTATCAATTCTCCTTAAACTTGATTTTTCAAAAATATTTCCTATTTTTAAATATTACATTTGTCTTTGTGTAAAAATGAGTGAGAATAGAAATATTTCAGTTTACTTTATGAAAATTTGCTAAAATTTTAACAAAACTTGCCAGTGTGTAGTTATTCTGAAACAAGGACTACTCCTTATATGTAGTGATATTATTTTATAAGAAACATGACTCAAAAGTTCAGAATAGGGAGAGTAAAACTGTCTAACCACAAAACAATCAGAAATGGAACTTAACAAATTCCTTATAGCTGGACTTTGTAAAAATTCTTTCAGATTGCTAAGTATATTTGAAAGATTAAAATTTCGTGTTGACTTTAATTATAAGCATTTAATCTCAAAATTTAAAACACTAAAAGCTAAAGTTGTAATGCAGGATTTCCCAACCTTGTAGTGTTATATTTGGGCCAGGTAATTTCTTATCGGGGCTGTTTGGTGTACCAAAGGATTTTTAGTAGTATCCTTGGCTTTGACCCAAAAGATGCCCCCATAGTCATGACACCCAGGAATGTCCCCAGATATTGCCAAATGTCCCCCGGGGAGGTAAAATCATCCCCAATTAAAAGCCATGGTCATCAATTTATCTCCATTTTAAGTTGTTACAGAGCTAGCAGATGTTCTTTTTCTTATAAATTATAGTCTACAGAAAGAAAAACAGAAAATTATGGAACCCACATGTTCCCACATGTATGAAAGAGAACTTAAAAGCAAGTAAAGAAGCAACAGAGGAAGATAGAATCTTTGAAACTCTTGACAGATATCCAAGAAAAATTAATTTTTTTAGTTCAGAGTCCAAGATGATGTGAAAGAGTAACAATACTATTTCTGAGTAAAAGTTGTGGTTTTATGTTCCACCAGAGAGTAAGTATTATAACTACTAAGAAAGAATTTATTTACAATGGCATGTGCAAACATCATTTTTAAAAAAACTGAAAGAGTGCTTGCTTAGGCAGCACATATAGTAATATTGGAGCAATACAGCATAGCTCCTGTGCAAAGATGACATGCAAATTCATGAAACATTCCATTTTTTAAAAAATTAAATAAATGAAATCTTACTTTTTTCTGTAGTACTCCCTGGCATTCTTTGCTCTCGATCTTTAGGAGGTATACTTGCTCTACTAGTTGATTCAAGCATAGATTGTTTTGCTGCTAAAGATGAAAGCTCCATAGCATTATAAGAATCATACAAATCCCAAGTACTGGACATCACACCTAAATAAAGAGACAGAAAAGTAAAAATTATTTTAAACCAAATTCTAATAGGTTAGCTTATATATAATTAGTTATAGCAAAATCTAAGATAATACCTACTGTTTAAGAAAAGAATACTATATTTTACAATGGCAGGAAGTAAAGATGAAAAAGAAATAAACCATGAGGATACCTTCAGATCCTTACACTTTTGCATCTACTTATACATTAGTGTTTTAATGATAACTCCAAATTATCCTCACCATTCTTTCTGATCCCCACACCTCTCTCCCTCTATCCCAAGCTGATGGAGCATAATCTCATCCATCTGTTAGTATAGGTCTTGGTTGATACGGACCAGGACAATCATGTCACAAAAAGGATTTAATGATCCTTTACTTATGATTAACATAGTTATATTCTATAGAATTTTTATTTTTTTAAAGATTTTATTTATTTATTGATAGAGACACAGAGAGAGAGAGAGAGAGAGGCAGAGACACAGGCAGAGGGAGAAGCAGGCTCCACGCAGAGAGCCTGATGCGGGACTCGATCCAGGGTCTCCAGGATCACGCCCTGGGCCGAAGGCAGGTGCTAAACCACTGAGCCACCCAGGGATCCCCTATCTTCCCTTTTGAAAATTTTTGTTTGCATTAGCTATATTTTTTCAAATGATCAAATATAGCAATGATCTCCAAACAAAACTTGCAAATTTTTATGTCCAAAATTAAAAAAAAATTTCCAATATTTTTCATTATTGATATAACAATGAAAGGTTCACATAGCAATTATTTTATCAGTGACCATGTAATAAAATATTCCTACATGCTAAACTTGCAAAAGTTTAAAGTACAGTGATTTAATAAAGAATTATTTTCTCTGAAAATCAAAACAAGACTGAATATAATAAATGCAACTACTTCATTGTTATAATTGTTATTTTCATAAAATATAATGAAGGAGCTCTGGTATTTCACAATGTTTTCAATTAGTAAGAATGTTAACTCACATTTAATAATAACATTTCTATTTTATTGAACTGACCTTAATAATGTCTAACAAAGTTATACACATAATAAATACCTAGTCTATTTTATTGAATTGAAAAGGGTACAATTTCTGTTGTTTGTAAAGTAAAAGACCATAAAAAGATATTATGTTTTTGAATATTTAATTACCTAACCTTCATTTAACCGAAAGTTTAACAATTTGAGTATATAGGAATATATTGTTACATCGTTATCAATAATTGCTACATAAATAAAAGTACATGTTATAAATGAGCAATGTAAAATGTTAGGGTGATTTAAGGTTGTTTCTTGTTTGAAGATAACAAATAACATTGGTAATATTAGTTTGGGTACCATCATGACATTTGTACATTTGAATAAATTAACCTAAGAAATAAAAAATCCTAAACCATATGCCATAATATCAAGCACAAAATGAAATGATAAATAATGAATGATTGGTTTTTGTTTGTTTTTTGAGGGGGGCTTGGGGCTTGAGTTTTTTTAAAAAAGTTTTTATTTAAATCCAGTTAGTTAGCATATGGTTTAATATTAGCTTCAAGTGTACAATTTCACACCTCAATACAAAAAATAATAATAATAAAAAAACCCACTTCCATACAACACCTGGTGCTTATCACAAAAAGTGCACTCCTAATCCCCATCAGCTATTTAACCCATTCTCCCACTTGCCTCCCCTCTGATATTCATCAGTTTGTTCTCTGCAGTTGAGTCTGTTTCTTGAAGAAAGAAAAATTAAATGATTGTTACTTCCCAATTTTATAGTTATATTCTATTAAAGAAAGTTTTAACTAGCATCAGAAAAAGGTATTCCCAACTCTACCATGTTTTGAGCATTTCCGAGTCTGGGATATGTCTATATAGTTTTTGCCCATTTAAAAATATTGTTTCTATCTACTAGTTTAACAGACTATGAAAGTGTAGCAATTAGCCATATAACATTTATAGAAAAATAATTTTACTTTTTAGCTGAGTAAAAAGATATGCTCAACGTTAAAGAAGAAAAAAGATAAATATGACTTGTATTTCCACCACCCAGAGATAATAACTGCTAACATTTTGGTGTATGTCCTTCCAGATTCACATATGAACAAATACATATATGTATTTTTTAAAATAAAAATTAGTTCATATCACACATTTTTATTAAAAAATTATAGTATAATATACATAGAAAACAAGCTGGCTTTTTGAAATCTACAGTTATAGGATTTACTTTTTTTAAGATTTTATTTATTTATTCATGAGAGACAGAGAGAGAGAGAGAGAGAGAGAGAGAGAAAGAGAGGCAGGGACATAGGCTCCCATGTAGGGAGTACCATATGGGACTTGATTCAAGGACTCCAGGATCATGCACAAGCCAAAGGCAGACACTCAACCACTTAGCCACCCAGGCATCCCTACAGTTGTAGGGTTTAATATATTTTTAAAAGTTAGCCAGGAACACTAATACATTCATTGAATTATCCATTTATTTGAAATGCCACTTTTATCATAAATTACTATATGCGTACTATTAAGTGGAAAACTTTTTTCCTCACTTTCTGTGACTCTTTACAGAGGGAATTTGAGCTAAATTAACACCCTGATCTCTCTATGTCCCTCATTCACTCATTGCCAGAGAAAAAGTGATTCATCCTATAGGAGAGTTTAGGAGGAATTGCGCTCAGCCACTTCTGGGTTCTTTTGTTAGGTCTCTTCAAGCATGCTTTCTGGTCTGTTCTCACTCCTAAAAAAGTCTGTGCTTGTCTAGCTTTGCCAATTATGGCTGGTAGGAAGGAAGAAATGGCAAGTCCCTAGCGCTGCAGATTTAAGGCTACATTTTTTTCAGTATCTTTATCAGTAATAAGGCTAATACTTGATTTCCATCTCTCTGACTCCTGAATCTCTTTCAATTTCATCCCAAATCAGGCAAAGAAGACATGTGATTTTTTTTTTTACTGATCCATAAGACTTTAATATTTATTTGGTCTATATTGTAGTTTTTAATATTAACTTTCATTATTTTTAATAAAATTTTTCTGTGAAAAATATATCATGCACATAAGAGTGTATAATACATATATGTGTAGTGTGAACAGTTACTATCATGTACTCACCAGCCAGGATAAGAAATAGAACATCTCCAGGTACTTAGGAGCCCTGGATGCTCTTCTATCTGGCCCTCTCTTTCTAGCTACCTCCAACAGAAGTAAATCCACTTTCCCTAACTTCTTTTTTTTTTTTAAAGATTTCATTTATTTATTCATGAGAGACACACAGAGAGAGAGAGAGAGGCAGAGATACAGGGGGAGGAAGAAGCAGTTTCCCTTTTAGGAGTTTGATATAGGACTCGATCCCGGACCCCAGGATCATGCCCTGAGCTAAAGGCAGATGCTCAACCACTGAGCCACCCAGGCATCCCTCCACTTTCCCTAACTTCTGGATAGGTCATTCTCTTGCTTTGTTTTAAGGCTTTTCTCCTGTGGTAGATGCTGTTGGTGCCCTGCCCATATCTATTATACATTACCTCTTACTAGCCAATCTCCAACTGCCAGCATCTATATTGCTTTGCTTGGGGCCATCTTTGGCCACCAAGGCCACTTTGATGTCCACAAATTTGGCCTAGAATGCCAACAAACTAACAAGTCCATAAGCCTTCAAACAATGATTTAGAAAGTTGGAACATGACAAAAATAACTCTGACTCCCAGAGTTCTCTAACAGTATTAAACTCCAGTTAACCAAAGAGGTAATTTGTCAGCATAACCTCTGTCAGCTACCTACCCTTTCTTATTTCACTTACTCTCCTACCAATGTTTCTTAGGATCACCTCCAAAATAAACGATGTGCACTCAGAACCTTTCTTCAGAGGTTTCTTCTTGGAAAACTTTTGAAGTTCAGAATTCATAGGCACATAAGGCTCTCCAACATATACATATCTACACAATATATTGTCTAGTTTTAAAAATTGGCAAGTTAAAAAAATTGGAAAGTTAATGATCATATGGTTTCACTCATATGTGGAATATAATAGTGAAAGGGATTATAAGGGAAAGGAGGGAAACTGAGTGGGAAAAACTAGAGAGGGAGACAATCCATGAGAGACTCCTAACTCTGGGAAACAAAGGGTTATGGAAGTGGAGGTGGGTGGGGGCATGGGGTAACTGGGTGGCAGGCACTGAGGAGGGCACTTAATGGGATGAGCACTGGGTGTTATACTGTATGTTGGCAAATTGAATTTAAATTTTTGAAAATGTATAAGAAATTTTCAAAATATAAACAATAAAAATTGGATAGCAAACACTATCACAGATGCATAAAAAAAAAAAAGAACAAAATCACCACTATTAAATGAAGACTACTAAAGGAGGACTCTCAGGAGAAGATCATGAGAACATTCTGGGTCATATTCTGATTTCAGCCTCCCTGAGAATTTACAAGAGCCACTAATGATGAAATCACATAGTGAGACCATGAATATGTCCTTGGAAACATAGAACTTAATCCACTGAGGTACCTAACAAGCTAGGCATTGAATGTCCAATGAAAGTATGGTCAGGTAAGTGGGCAGCTCTGTATTTTCTGCTCCCCATGGCTTTTGGGCTGCTCTCAGGGTAAAACAGAACATGTATGTACAGTGAAGTGAATTTCCTCAACTTATCTAAGAAAGCCACAGGAAAGGAGAACAGAAGTACATTAACAATGGTAAAGGCAAGCTAGATATAAAAAAAAATAGGCAGATTCAGCTGAGCATTCTATCCAATTCCATTTACAAATGCATCAAAAAGAATAAAATATCTAGTAATAAACTTAACAAAAGAGGTGAAAGAATTGTACTCTAAAAATGTATCTAGGGCAGCCTGGGTGGCTCAGCAGTTTAGCACCTGCCTTCAGCCCAGGGCATGATCCTGGAGTCCCAGGATTGGGTCCCACATCAGGGTCCCTGCATGGAGCCTGCTTCTCCCTCTTCCTGTGTCTCTGCCATTCTCTCTCTCTCTCTCTGTCTCTC